AATATAAAAGCAATAAAATATTGTTAAAGCTGTATTTAATATTTCTCTGAAATAAACGCTCAAATTTATGACCTTCGGGCAATGCTATTGCACATGGTTGTCAAAATAAAACACAATGGTAAAGGGATTTTACATAATGCATCACAGCCTGTACATTTGTTGTAATAGAGAATGTGTCATATAATGTTTTGGATAGATCTTTATACAGAACCTGCAGGAGATGGTAAAGACTGATGTCAGGAGGTAGTGGCGAGTTGCGTGGATGCTGAGGGAACAGGGCTGCTTTAAGCTTGGGATATGGTGCCAGAGCCATCTTAAGTAATGGAGGGTCCACATTCCATGTACAGAGACTGGATTCTTCACTCTGCTGCAATACCTGGGGGTGAATGATGGAAAAAGAAACAAAGAAGGTTTCCAACACAGTGATATGAAAAGGTAAATGGCAGAAACACAGTGCCTAGAACTTACCCCATCAATTCCACCAGGAGCATACATACTGGTTGCCAGAGCAAGCAGTGTATGTCCTTCCAAGAGCATGCCGTTCACAGTAGGCTGGTCGCCTGGCATCAGTACATGGGCATTTGAAAGGCTGGCATGAAACATCCGACTGGCATCTACAATGACAAGATGCAGACATAAGGAGAAAGGCAAAGCAACATAGTAACTCCGGGATTACTTAATCCAAAGGAATCACATCACAGAGGCATTATTATCACAGTCACCATAGTCAAGTAAGTCAGCAGACAAAATTTTACTTACCCTTTGTATCGGCATTGACTTGACGAATATTAACCATGAATCCAAACCAGGGGTAGGCCTCGTGTAATGATGCACTGGACAGACCAGAACAATTCTCTGGTTGTAAACTGCCAGCAACGACAAAACAGTGTTAGTGACCTCAGAGACCACATGTGTGTGCTAAATCAAAGACATCACTACTACTAAAACTATAGCAATTTGGGTGAAGAACCTGTGCATTGCAGGCTTAGTACAGAGCTTAGTAGAGGGACATTCCCATAGTTACTCCATACCTTGTGTATTTATCGGAATCTTTGTGGTGACAGACAACATTGAAGAAAGGAGGAGTATTACTGATAATAGATAACCATAATGGTTAGGCCTTCATCACCATTCACTGGAGGGAAACAAAATCCTTATAGACCCTTTTTCAGGATGGCAAATAATTAGATTTGGAGCCCTTTGTAATCTGAGTTTCTTTACTATTTTTGCAAAACACATTCTTAAAGAATTTATGTGAGGTAGGGCTGCAACCAACTAATCGATATTAATCAATAATGAGAATAGTTGTCAACTATTCTCATTATCGATTAGATAGTTGGATCCCCTAGCTCTCTCCTCCACGGTGGGAGGAGGGCACAGCAAGCATGGGGCGGGTGCAATAGCCATCCTGCTATTGCAATTTGAAATGGCCAGTAGCAGGCTGGCTATTGCACCAGCCCACTACCTGCTGTATTTACATTCAGCTGCCATCTACGGAATCTTACCATTGGCAGCTGTCATTCCCGGGCTGAAGCTATTCAAGCGCTGAAGCTATTCAAGCGCTATGTGCTTACAATTTTTTTTAAAAATTATAAAATTATAAAAAGGTGGGAAAAAATACATTTTTGGTATCGGCCTGACACATTCTGCTGCGGGAGGTGGTTGCACTGCCATTCATTTCAATGGCACCCCAAACGCACCCCCCACCCACAGTGTGATTGCCCTACTGGAACGCACAGTACCGCAATGCTGTACGTTCCAGTGCAGTGCGATTGCAAAAAATTGTGCATGCAGTTTTATTCTGAAGTAAACTTTATATTTGTAAACGGCATTTGTGTATTTTATTTTAAATTAAGGATGCTATTTAATTTATTTTATGCGTTTAATCAAAACGATAATCGACCAACTAATCGATTATGAAAATAATATCTAGTTGCAGACCTACTGTATGCAAGATTTGTTCACTAAATGCCCTATATGGAGCCATGCAATGAAGAAGATGTTATAAAGGGGAAGTAGCCACTGTAGGAAAACTGATGAGATTGAGTGACACATATGAGGATCCCAGAGGCGTAACTAGAAACCATTAAGGTGCAAGAGAAACCATTAAGGCCCCACCCCCCCCCAATAAAAACATGATTTTGATACCTTTTTTTTCTTTCTTCTATTAATAAAAAGTATTTTTTTTTTTAACTTTCAGGGCTACTTCACACCAGCTCCAGTGTGTTCCGGCTGATTTAGTGCTGGAACACACTGGATTGCAACCCGGCCAGCTCACTGTGTTCTGGGGTGTTTGGGGGGTCCGTAGCGGTGCATTCGCCTGCACCGGAACGCATGGCAAATCAATGCCTGCGTTCCGTTGCGGTCAGAAAAAAATAGTGCATGCAAATGGAGTTCCCTGACTGGCCAACCCCCCCCCCTCTACAGCGTCTTCCCCATCCCTCTGTTTGAACTGCGGTCCGCAAGTGTCAAAAACTTTTTTGAATACATAAGGGTTGCACAGATTTGGATGAAATGTATTTATATATTTTTTTGCACTGTCTTTCACTTTTTGAGCTTTGTTTTTTTAAATAAAATTTTACACATTGATGTTTAATAATTTATATATATTTGTATATGGTACAGAGTGGGAATCACTGGGAAAGAATTCATATGGTTTACTTTGAGCCGACCTGTGACAGTCTCATTGTCACAGGTGGGCTAGAACTATGAGGTGTGTGAAAAGCACTCATCTCATAGTTCTCCTTTAATATAGGTATATAGAAGTAGCACAGTGAAAATTTATGTTTTAATAACTTATGGGTGGAATATTTTCATTCTTTGCACAGCTTACTTATTTTAGGTAGGGGTATAGTGCAGAGCTCTGTTTTATTTAATTCTTACAAGGAACATTGTCACTTCAAGAAGAAAGTGTAAGACTTCTGCCTTATTTTGGCAAAGGTTTCAATATGGTATGATTTATGCGGGCTGATGTATGCCTGATTATTTACAAAGAAACAATTATTGGCAGGCTTCTTACATCATCCTTATCCTCAATCTCACCTCTTGGTATTATTAGACGATGGTCTAATCTGCAAGCGAGATTTTGGTCTGAAGATGATGAATTAAGCAGAAGATATTAAACCTGGTACAATGAAGCACATCTATTGTTCGGTGATCAGTAAGAAGAATCATCTTGGTTATGGAAATGTAACCTGTAATAAGATTTTGAGCTGGCCATACGTGATTATGTTATAGTCAGTTGTAAATAGGGCCTAAGGTGTACTTACATTATTCCTAAAAGTATGTTTTTTTTAAAGTTATTGGCTTCATCTGCTTACTTCTCTTTTTCTAATAGATTGATATAATTTGTGTCTATTAAGAAATAAATTTCTATGAAATTTTCAGCTTTAAGTAATGCTTTAAATTACAGTAAGAAAAATAGATCAAACGATACCTGTGATGGTCTAAGTAGGCGTACAGCAGGTGTTGGAGGCCACGCTCAACGCACATCAGCACAAAGCGATTATGAAAATCTGGATAATGTGCAGAGATGCTCTCTATGGGAGAATCGGCTGGCAGCATGAGCTGACAATTAACAACAAGTCTCTGCACCAAAGACTCAAAGTCATTCAGCTCAGAAGGGATAAAAATGTTCATCCTGAAAAAAAAGACATCGATTTCAATAAAGGAGTAAATAAGTATGGACAATGTAAGTGGACCATCTTTTGTCTGTTGCAAACAAAGAGGTCATATGTGCATAAACCATTTTAGAATTCCTTATGCATAGATATACATCGCTATTGCCAAGCTTTGCAGCAGTAATTCCTAACTAGTGGAACAAAAACAAACAAAAAGAACAAGTAGCTTTCGTCATCATTGCAACCTCTCAGCAGTTACTCATTGTTTCTGAACTGGACCAGTTTGCCTATTTTATATATGACTTAATCTGATCATTCACAGAGATTGTGTAAGAACATTGAAGTGGGGCTAAAGGTGAGTGTGGCTCATGAGTTAATACAGAAAGGGGATCCCTACTACGACAAAGGGTAGCAATGCTAAATAATAAAGCTTAAAATGAACCCGAGTCACACAGCTGTGGCACTGTTCTTACTTTCATTCATTTTTAAAGAGAATTCATCTTCATGCTAAATATCTATTGGCTCAAATGATGCTATTGCCTAACTAGTGAGCTGCATACTAGTTCAAAGGCAATAACCTTACTCATAATGATACTGAACAGGTGTCTAACTGTTCTAGAATGAGCTGGCTGGTTGTGAGTCAGGCAACGGCAGCCTACATACATCAGCAAGTTTTAACTTATGTATAACTTGCTACATACATCAGCAAGTTGATAACATACTTTCTTTAAAGAGATCCAGCTACAGATATCTTCTGTCCCAAAGAGTTTCAGGTTTTGTCATTAACAGCAGCCTTCATGGTGCAATTCTCAGAATTCCTAAGGGTGAGTGACCCTAGACCTGCAAATTATCTGCGACGAGGCTTAGTTCAGTCTTATTACTTAGAAGATGATAGTGTATGAATTCCTATGACAGTTATCATCTCAGATATTGCTTGGGTGAAATCAGGGAGGTACCTGTTAAAGGACTGCTTCAGTGCGTACAGGAGATATTCTGATGATAGGGAAGGCTGCTGATAGCGTTATTCAACTGGCACAGTTCTAATAAAATCACAGCTTAGATGGAGGTTAGGTTTACATCATGATGTCAGACAATGGTACTTCTACAAATTCATATTTCTGCGTACCCCCAAATGAAGGAAACTTGAGTAAGGTAAGGGTAGCCCTTACTTCTCTGATACATATATGGATGATCAACACGCAAAGATTATACCCAATTCAAAAACACCCTTCCATACACACCTTGCTAACTTGTTTAGAATTCTCTCTCTGGTGTAGTCACAACATAAAGTGTTCTCTTCAATTATGTCTGGGCTTAAGGGAGGCCACTGTGAGTGTTGGCTGTCCCTGTTCATTTCACAATGTCCCATGTTGTCGATCCAAGATTCAATTCTTGGCCAATCATGCCACAGAGTCAGACGGCGCCACAAGATTTTAGCCGAGACAGAAGACAAGTCTGTGACACATAATATAGATAATTATCCTTTAGAAAGCAATAACAGTAATTAATGAAACTGAATAAAGATTAACTGCATTCAAAAAAATAGTAGAGGTGTCCAGAGGCAATTATACAGAATACAGCACAGCAGAGCATCTCACATGCCAGTAGGCAGACCTGAAAGAAGTTTCACTGGTTACATAGGTCAGCATGCTGCATATCTCCCACCGTAATCTTCCTTTAACCACTTCAATTCTAGTACTGTACCTGTATACCCATGTGGACCAGAGCAATTTTTACATTTCCAGTATAGGCCTGTTTATTTGGTGATAACTAGGTCATAATTTAAGATAATGAAGTAATACATTAAAAAAACACCCACATTTTTTTTTACATTCAAACGGCAAAAACATTTGAAATAACAAAATAATAGCTAAGGGGAGAAAGGAAGCAAGGAGTTAATTGGGGCCGATTACAGTTAACTAAGGATTAATAAAGGGTTAAATAGTTATTATATTTTCATCTACATATGAATTAAACAGTAAATAGAATGTAACAATTGTTAAATTGTATTTACTTAATGACGCTTGCATACTTCTGCAAGTGTCATTTTACACAGGACCTGCTGCATTTTGTGTTAAAGTGTATGTTTAGTTTTAGATGGAGTAGGAAAGGTATAAAAAAAAAAACACCCTGTCAGTCTATTTTTTGCTGTCTTTGACCCATTGGGGATGATTTCTCTGCACTTCCTGTTGCATAAACACATCGGAAAGTGAGAGGTAATCCTTACAATATGAGGTTAAATCCTCTAATAGACACCTCAAACTGGAACAGGTGTCCCAATTGGAAGATTTCCCCTTACCTCCTGTTCATTTTGGATTTGCCACATGACTTTACCTCTCAGAGACAATGGCGGTGACACAGGCATCAATGAAAACCTAAAACGGGTTCTAATCTTACCCTTAAAAAGGTTTTTGCTACGCATGCACTTTAATAGGTCTGTTTATAAAGCAGTATACAGTATGTGACTTTCATTAAACATGCTTTGGTGTGCTTTGGTGGAGAATCAATCCTTGCCATCTCAAACAAATTCACCAGGAAAATTATCCACCAGTAATACTAATGCATTATATTCAATTGTTTTAATGTACATGAATCCTTAATCATTTAGCTATAAACCTCATTTCAGTGGCCTTTCAGGGCAGCTAGTGGCCACTCTAATTTCTCTGGAATAAACATAAATGCTATAGGCTGTCACCTGCATCATTTTTCCAGGGCAATAAGATTGATTCTCGAGTCTCTGAGTCCCAGTCCTGGGCCCAGTGCAGAAGAAGAACAATCGGCTCATCTTTTACAAAGCTCAATGCATTTTGCAGCACATGTGCCTCTGGAGGCAAGTCACCGGTTTTCCAAACAGGCCTGCAAACAATACCACAAATATCACTTTGTTATTTCTCGTCACATCTTTGCACAGCAAGGAGAACAAATGACGCTCAAATGATATTACTTGGAATAAGTCAGGCTAGGCCTTTCTCCTACAGGCTTCTGCACATCATTGCACAGCTTTTCTAACTGGTACACTGTCTGGATCCTTTCATGCTCCTCTACTGAAAAAAGCCCCTCTTGCTGCAGCAGGTCTACCTACAAACAGGAACAGATCAAGGTCAGACAGTGGTGACGAGGAAAAAAAAGTTCAAAGGAAAATACAAATTACCCACCAGCAGGTCCCGAACAGCAACATGAGATGTGTACAAGCAGATACGGCGCAGCTCGTCCCATACAGAATATCCCTGGAAAAGAAAAGTATTTATAGAATAAATCAGAGAGCATAGCTTTCAAAGTTGAACACACCCACACATATAAAGATGTATACCATATGGGTTGATTTATAGACCATTCGCACAGCAAACAGCTCAGCAAAAGGCATTCAGATTATAATGTCCACTAAATGGAGCTGAGGTGCATAAATTATATATATCTATGGATATATATCTATATATATAGTGACAGATATAGTTACCCATTACTGACCATGTTCTGCAAGAGTTGGCAAGCCTCTGTCAGCCGCTTCTGCATTAGGCACTCAAACACCATGTTTAGGCCTTCTCGTTTCATCCATGGGAGGCTGAAACAATGATGTCCCTTTGCGCGTAGGAATGACTGAGCCTCAGGAATACAGTTTGACAAGATGGCATCAGAAATTATATTCTAAAAAATGGGGAGAATTAATTAATTAAAATGAGCTAGTGAATATGCAATCAGGTATAACATGACACAATAAACAACTCCTGATTGGATATGAGAAGGATAACTAAGTTATTCAAGAGTTGTGCTAAGGCCATCATTCTCTCATGCCCAGTGTACCTCCACAGGCATGCTCTCCCACGCCCTCTTTCCTCTCTCAGCATGCTGGGCCTGCACAGGAAATGGCTGCTGGAACCTCCTCATGAAAGACCGGAGCTTGTTGATGTATCGACTTAGAATTCCCACACACTGTTCCAGGCTAGAGTCTGGCTTTGTGCACAAGTTCATTTATTTCACTAATGCAACTTAAAAGGTGAAACTAATATATGAGATATATATATTTATTATAAACACACACACATATATACACACTGGCTGCATAACGTACCAGCCAGAAGATTGAGGACTGCCACAACCTGGCCATTGAGAAAATGGAGAGTCAATTGCAGCAGCTGCTCTGAGAAGTGTTTGCTCTGAGGCTCCTGGTCCGTGTCTTGTATGTATGAGAAAAGAAGGTCCAGAGCCGGGACAAGATCCTGCACATCTATGTAAGAAAGTATGATATGGTCTTAGAGACAAGCTGGGGGCCCAGCAAAAACAAAACCTGAACCTGTTATTCCACATGCTTACTATGTAGGTATTGTTCAGACTGCACGCTGCCATCTTCACATGTCAGTGGAGTGAGGATGCTTTCTTTGCTCTTTAAGAAAAAATCAACTGTATCCAACTGTCGGTTCTCTAAGCCAGCCTGTAAAATAGCAAATTGTACAGATGATCATCAGCGAAGAAGAACAGAAGGGTGGCAAATAAGATAAACCCATGGTATTTATTACCTCTAAGGTGTGAATGGGAACAGAGCAGCGCCCCCAGTTATTCAGGTAGCACAGTGTGTCTGCAGTACTAGCACTGCCGTGAATCATTAAGCGGGTGAGAAACTCATTCTGTGACACAGCAAACAAGGCAAGAGAAAGGCCCTCATCTGATGGGAGAAATCAAGGGACAGATAAATAATACAATGCTAAATCCTCACTTATAGCCCATTAAAAAAATACTTCCAATGACCATTAGCATTGCATCTAAAACCTATACAAGTTCTTATCACCTACCTGTTATAATTAGACAGGCTTCATCATCTGCACCATCCACACATAAAGCTTTCCCCAGAGTATGGTAATCAACAACTTGTGTTTCCATGTTCCAGTGGACCAAGATGGCACATCCATCAACATCTGACAAGCAGAACAAGGCACTGAATGATGACAAGGACCAGTTGTGAATCCTTACAGGAGCCTTCATCTTGTCTGTATGGATTTTCACCCAACCTGCACCTGAAACTGCCCAACTGAGAGGGGCATCAGTGGAGATGGTGCTTGGCATCAGACTCTGAGTGGATGGGCACAAAGGAAATGTTGAATAACTCTTTGTCTCCTTAGAAAGTGAGGATAGGATAGCGTCCCATGACCTACACAGAAGATACGTCATCAGAGAAAGATATAAGGATGGAAGGTGTGATTGCTTAAGACATATACTGTGAGTCACAGTATGATCAGTAGCAAAACAAATGTGCATTTAACCACACAGTAATCAGAAGGCAGCAATGTGCAGAGCCAGAGAACAGAGCAAGACACAGAAAAGAGACATTGCAATGGTCACTCTGCTAAGATTTAATCAGTTGAGTAGGGAATGTAAACATAAATTATACCCAGTTCTGTGTCCCTGTTTAGCCACGTCAGACTCAAAGTCTGAGTGACCGAAGACTTGCACCTCCATTTTACTGCATTACTACTAAACTCCAACAGATACAATACCCAGTGGAGGGAGACTGCAGCCAATGGATCATGGAATTATTACCTCTAAGTGGGTCAGGTTTGGATCTCAAGCAGTAAAGAAAGCATAATTTACTCATTATGTTCTGAAATTCCCACTCCACCAATCTATTCGCAATGGAGTGGCTCTAGGAATCATGTGGTACCTGTCCATCGGAAAGCCATATCCAAGTGAATATCCATAAGAGTCCCCGCTATACAGCTCAGCAACATTTGAGGCGGAGGAGTTCAATTGACGCTGATCTCGCCACATGTGTAGGCAGAGAGTCACATCTTCACTGTAGAGATAGAAAGAGATTATTCAGTTTAAAACCCTTTACAAAGCGTGTCTGACCTCAATGCACTCAAGAGAGAGTTTACCTAAAACGTTTACTCAGCTTCAAGGGAAGAAAGTAGGAGGAACCAGAAGAGACCACCATTAGATCTAGGTTTGGACTAACACAAATGCAATTGAGTGGTTCCACTGCATCAGAATCTGTCCTTACAGGAAGCTCCATAGCAATCATTGGGAACCCATCTAAAATGTCAAATGCATCTGCACCACTCTGTCAAGGAACTTAAAAATATAAAACATATATTTTACAAAGCAAATACAACCAATCTGTCTTAACAACAATTGGCATGTAGGGAGGATACAAATCAATCCAAGGCTATCCAGAAGGAAAAGGACTTCATGGCTCAAGCAGACATCTGAGATCCGTTCTGCAGCCTCTGGATCCAGCTCCAGGCACAAACAAGAGACAACAATTGGTTTCTGCTCCTCATCAGTATAGCGGAGATGTACAAGGAAACAGTTGCTAACCAGAAGAACAATATCCTGATCACATAGGGACAGCAGACGAACTGAAGGCAATGATGGGATACCTTTGGAAAACGATAAGAGAAGTTGTATACATTATTATTTTTTTGACTAGCTTAATCTTACTAATGTCATCACTATGTTTATTCTACTGTCATTGGCAGTAAAAGGACATAAGATATCACACTTACAGACATGCTTCTCTGCACAAAGCTGTCTCAAGGAGTCTTTATCACATACACAAGCACAAGTTAGGTCAACTCTCCCATCTGCAACACTGACATCATGAACGCAGAACTCATTGTCCTGACTGAGCGTAAGAAGACGTGGGTTCCGATCCAATAGGGCCTCACTGCCATTTCCATTTTGCGAGAGAAACCTACAGTTTCATACAGCAGAGGTTATTAAGAGTTTAATATTACCGTAAAGAATACACCTAAATAATATACAAAATTAATTAATATGAAACACTAAATACGGAGGTAGAAAATATCACGATATAAATGGGGAGGGTGAAGGGAGTTAGATAGGCTATGTGAGAAGCTAATTTATGAAACAGAAATACTTTTCTTAATTAAATATTTCAGAAAAACAAAATTAAAATTAAGTTGAGAAAATCAGGTGTTGTACTGTGACCCAAAGTAAAATCTAAAAATATATATTTGTATTCGCTGACTCTTTTTTTAATAGTGTCTAAGGTAAATCCTGGACTTAGAGAGCACCTAAAATGTGGAAATGTGCCCAAAAAAGGAAAGTAGAGGACAAAGGACAAGTCACCAGTATTGCCTGTAGACTCCTTGAAGTTTATCTTTTCCCCATTACTGACCTACCATGCCTTGTTCTGCACTGTGCCTTTGAGTGGAGGGGGCCATCATGGTAGAGGTAGGGCTTTGCTTCCTTATGTCAAAGCTGCCCTCTGATCTCTGGTGACCTGGTGACTCCTGGGTGAATATTCAAGAAGTAGTAGGGAAGGTGTAGAAAGCAAATATTCATAGAATGAATGAAGCAGGAACATGCTTGCCAGCAGGTCTTCAAGTATAGAGTCCTCTCCAGCAAGAACAAAAAGCAGTACAGTAGTGACATCACCAAATCTTACTAGACTAGCAGTCAAAGGCAGAATTTCCTCTTACAGAGCAGATATACAGCTATGAAACAATAGGCACAAGAGTGACTAGGCACACTCACGTACCAGGAAGTGCACTGCAGTGCTTTCAGGAGGAATTTAAAAGCCATCTCTGTGCAAATCCTAAATCCTCTACCATCCCTTCTGCATCTCTCTGACCCACATTTTTTGTTAATTAAAACATCTAGCAAAGCATTTTACACTCACCTAAGTCTGTGGTCTGCGTCCGTTGCCAGTGCCTTTTTGGCTGCAGCTGTGCACATGCCAGTCTCTCACATTGGCGTCATCACTACCGTTGCTCTTCTGGATCCTGAGAGGACCTTGCCTTTGGACAGCCTATAGGAAGTGTTCATGTCATGTAGGAAGTGACATGGACACACAAATATGGATCCTATTCCTGTGCACAGGAGGAGGGAGTAGACTTGTGACTGGAATGTCATGTGACCACAGATTTACGTGAGTAAAGGGGCATTTTGGTAGATTTGTTTTTAATGCTAGTAGTGGTTAGTTAGAGGGAAGGGGAAAGGACACGCAACTCAGAGAATTGCGTTAAGACAAAAAGGTAGGGTACTGCTTAGAAAGCAAATCTTCACTTTTAAAATTCAGGTACATTTTAACAAGTCCACAAAAGGAATAGCTCTGCCTGCTACCACCTAAGGGAAGTGAATAATATAAGCTGTTTAAAAAACAGGATGTCAGTGATACCATGGAGCCAGATAAACATTTACAGGTACAGAGATTTTCCAAGGTAGGGAATAATTAAAACTGCTGTCAGTTTTTCGGGGGTTTTGCCATATGTGTACCATTCAAGATATATTTCTTAACTTCCTGTCCTGTAGAAACAATGGAAAGTCGCTTATGGACAGTTGTCACTGCAACCATTATGCAAATTGGAAGATTCCCTTCTATTCCTTTTCTGGTACCAACTTAAAATTTTGGATTTTCAATCACTTTCAATCCCAGGAACAGTGGTAACCAGTATAAACAGACAAAGTAAATCTCCAAAGCAGGGACACACAGACAAGAATAAAATCCTGACAGAGATTCTAACCCTTCCCTAATCTAAAACAAAGATAATCAGTTTTCGCTTTAGATACACTTTACTGTATTTCAGTTTTCAGTGGTAATACATTTTGTAGGTGTTTTTCTCTATTTTAAAAGAAAGGCAACTGAAGTAGCATGCATCTAGCTTAGACATTCACCAACCGATCACAGAGTTCTGTCTTTTTTTATGAACAGGGAATAAGTTGTACATGTTTCATTGGATAGCTTAGCTAAAAGCAAGAATAATTCATATATATTGTTCCTGATCGTATTTACTGAAACCCAGACCCTATTAAACAAATGTATCCTAAAAAAGTATCTTACTGTATGAATGGTCCATCCAGATGTGCATGAAAACCATGGGGCGCCCCTGTGGTAAATATGGTGAGGTGTAGACCCCCTTGTGGCAGAAGACTGCATAGGGTTAGTACTCTGTCCTCAATTATTTACAAGCAGTCAGTGATCACTGACTGCTTGTACCCGCTCTACATCCTGACTCGCTGTCACAGGAGGCTGAGCGAGTGGTGCGAGGAGGAGAGCTCGGTCTCCTGTGACAGCTGACTCCTCCCCTGCACTGCTGGCCTCATGTGACAGCTGTCTCCGCCCCCACACCGCCGCTCTCCTGATCTGTCACAGGAGGCTGGTGGGGTGGTACGGGAGGAGAGCTCAGCCTCCTTTGACAGCACTCACAGCTGTCACCACTCCCACACCGCTCTCCTGATCTGTCACAGGAGGCTGAGGGGGCGGTGCTGGAGGAGAGCTCGGGCCTCTTGTGACGCCGGTCACTCACAGCGCCCTCTGCACCACTTGGCCTCCTGTGACAGTTTCCCTGCTCCCCGCTGGACACTGCACTGTGTCAGAGGGGGCACAGAGCAGCGCCCAGCGGGGAGGAGAGAAACTATGGATGCACTGCAATTTCACCACAAGTGCTATTTTCGGCCGATATGTTTCGGTGGCCGAAATTTCATTGCATCCAGAAGTGAACAATCTAGAACAACATAGCTGGAACTGGAAAGTGAGCTGAATTGGAGAATTTTGCCACATCAGCTATGTTGTCCTAGATTGTTCTTCTCCTGTCTGCAACAAACTCTTCACCCTTTTGTGAATAACCCTGTAAATATGTTTTTTTCTTACCTTTGGAAATACTTTTATGCTTCTTTCAACATTTTCAAAGTGACAGAAAACTCTGGCTGTTCACATAGAAAGCCCAAAGACACTCTGAGCTTCCCCTTATCAACATACAATGCTTCTTAACCCTTAATCTATTGTAAGCATTCAAATCTAGATTACAACTGATAATGAGATCTGCCAGCATAGTACAGACAGGGTTAATTCATTCCAGGGAAAACTTTACTTTAGAGCCAAATTTTCTTTCAGAGTAGAACAAGTAATATGCAAGAAGCAATTTTATTTTATTTAAGTTATGCTATGTGAATGGAAACATGGAACAAATATAACAAAGGCATTGTCCCAATTTTGCTGCAAAAGTGGAAACACACTGTAAGCTATCCGCTGGCCTCGTTTTTTTATGAAGGAAGAATGAGCAGGCCAGTTGGACCTCACCCCTGGTCACTGAATCATAACATCAAATATCTAAAACATGATTTTTGTATTCTTATCATTTAAAAACATACATAATATAGACCCTCCCAGAGAGATGCACCAATACCAATACTAGTATCGGTGCCGATACAGACTATTTGGGTGAGTACTCGTACTCGCCCAAATGCTCCCGATGCCTATCCCGATACCAGAACTTCCGGTTTCAGGAAGCTGGGCAGCGGGTAATGACTCGCCCCCGGCTTCCTGATTGGCTGAAAAGCTGGCTCCATACTTCCCGGGCAATCAGGAAGCCGGATAGTGTGTTTTGACTCGCCGCCCAGTTTTCTGATTGGTCGTAAAGCTGGCCAATCAGGAAGCCGGGCAGCGAGTCATA